TCCTCCTTCCCCTCCCCTCCCCTCCCTCTCCCCTCCTCTTCCCCTCCCCCTCCTCCTCCTCTCCTCTCCTCTCCTCTCCTCTCCTCTCCAGCCTGCCCACTCCGCCACCTTCCTCCCTTCCTCATCCTCTTCCCTTCTCCTTCCTCCATCAGATATGTACTCCTCTCCACCATCCTCGTCCGACCGACAGCATTGCGTACCTCCGCCTTCTCTGGCATTTCGCTTCAAGCTTGACTGTCTCTTTGCACATGAGCGTCTCGCTCGTCCAGACCTCAAACATTCCCCGCATCATCAGGTTCATCGCTACCATCAACACATCAGCCTGAAGACTTCTCCTCCTCCACCACCACCACCACCACCTCCTTCTCCACCACCTCCTCCTCTCCCTGCTCCCGCTCCCCTCCCCTTCCCTATCTCTTCCTCCTACATTCCTCCCCTGCATCACCTGACGTCAGCATGATCTCGCTCTTTTCGATCGCTCGCTTCATGTCGTTTCGATGCTCCTTCATCCCCATCAGCCCCATCCTGTCGCCCAAGTCATCAAGGCTAACTCAAAAGCAAACCATCCTCCCTCCCTCTCGCCAGCTTGCTTCCCCTTCCTCCTCCCTCTCTCCTCTGCTTCCTCCTCCTCCTCCTCCCCACCCTCCCACCCTCCCTCCTCCCTCCCTCCCTCCCTCCCTCCCTCCCTCCCTCCCTCCCTCCCTCCTCCTGAACCTTCCTCCCTCCCCTGCTTCCTTTGCCCCAGCAACTTTGACTTTCAAATCTCCACTGACCTGAGCAGATTTTTCCTCCTCGTCGTTGACAGGGGCGAGGTCAACCTCTGGTAGCACTTGACCTGCGCGATTACCGTCAGCTCAATACCTCTCTCCTCCACGCGTCGCTCACCATCTCTGCATGGAGGCGGAACGAGCTCATGGCATGAGCCAAGGAAAGTTTGTTCACCAGGCTCTGTGCGAGCAAGACCATTATTCCATCGCTATCTTGAACTCCCCATCCACCTCCCTCGTGCCTTCCCATCCCACCTTCTCCTCCTCCTCCTCGTCATCATCATCGTCATCATCATCCCCACCACACCCATCTCTTATGAACTCCACCAGGCCCTCCATCACCTCGAGCAAGAGGATTCTGAACTCAGAAGATTTCTCCGCGTCGCTAGTCTCCTTCTCCTTCGTCTTGGCGGATCGAACCTTGGAGCTCTTTGTCTCCGTGCTGCTCTTCCTGACTGCTCCCTTCGTCCTCCTCGCTTCCTCTAGCTCTGCGCTAACGTTCACACTCGAACACTCCATCCCCACCACCTCCCACTCTCGTCTCCTCCTCCTCCTTCCTCCTCCTCCTACCTTCAGCTGCGCCTCGCCATCTCGAATGCGAGGCTTCTTTTTCTCGCCGCAACCTCTTCCTGCGCTCACACAACTTCAGCAGCAGATGACACCAGGTATTCCCTTCTCCTCTCTCCTCATCTGAATCTCCTCCGCCTACTCCTTCTCCTATTCCCTCCCCCCTCTCTCCTCTCCTCTCCTCTCCTCTCCTCTCCTCTCCTCTCCTCTCTTCTCTTCTCCTCCCTTCCTCTTCCTCTATGACCTCTCAGCACTCAGTAGGAGTTTGCATGCTTTCAGCTTCGCGAGCCTAAGGGGCAGGTCGAGATCTTGCAGTACCACTGGCAAAGAAAAAGTGAGCGACACCGCCAGGAGGAGGAGGAGGAGGAGGAGGAGGAGGAGGAGGAGGAGGAGGAGGAGGAGGAGGAGGAGGAGGGAGGCATTCAGCGACCTGCCAGCCAGAAAGGAGCGGATTCAGCAATCCATGCGTCAAGAAGCACCTCGTGCAGGTCTGCTCGAACTGTCAAGGTGAAGCTGGAAGAGGAAAGATGAGGGAAGAGGGGAAGGAAGGGGAAGAAAGAAGGAACGACCACGGATGTAGAAGGAAAGGGGTGAAGAACAGAGCAGGGAAGGAGGGGAAAGAGACCAAGGAGAGTACCAGCATTCAGGAGGGATGCAGCGATGCTGGTAAGTTCGTCCTCCCCTTTCTCCTCCCAGGGAAAAGCGCTTCCTTCCCCCCCGTCTAAGATCTCATGGAAGGAGGAGAAGTCGAACGAGCAAGGTGAAATGATTATCCTCTCTCCGCTGCTCAGAGTGACAGTGGTCGAGTAGCCCTCCGTACCCTCCTTGTATTTGCATTCCAGGAAGCGCCCTCCTTCCTGCTCTTGCTGAAGCTCCTGCTCCTGCTCCTCCTCATTCTCTGTCTTCTCCTCATCTTCTAAATGTATTCTACCCCATCCCAACACGTCAGAGGAGGAGCAAGGAAAGCAAGGTCTGACCGGGCAGTATGAGCATCATGCGAAGGAGTATCGAGCGTTGTTGCTACCGGAGCAACTGCAGCAGACATGTGATGTCAAGGTCAACAACCAAACAGAACAAAACAGCAGTAGAGAGTAGGGATGGAGGAAAAGAGGTGGGGGGGGGGGGAGGTGGGGGGGGGAAGTGGGAGGGGGAGGAGGGGGAGGAGGGGGAGGAGGGGGAGGAGGAGGAAGACAGACGTATGGAACAGGAGGAGAGAAGGGTCCATACATGTGCGAGGCCGGGGAGTGTCTTGACTTTGATCTTGCCTCTCGTCTCTCGGCTGCGAGAATTCTGTGGAATCCAGAAAGGCCGCGTCAGATCTGAGTGAGGAGGTGGTGCGAGAGGTGTCGCATACCTTTCAACAATGTCTCCCTCTTCAGGTCGATCAAAGATCTCACGCTGAAGTCTTCAGCATATGAGAGAGAAGCTGGAGCGACTGGACGAGGAGCAGGAAGAGGATGGTTCAACATCAGCTCCTCTTCCTCCATGTCCAGGGACTTCCAACAAGCGTCTGTATCCTCCTGTTCTCCTCCTCCCCTTGCCCCCGGTCGATTCTTCACTTCATCTCCTGACCACTGCTGATAATCCTTCCCTTGATCCACCTTCGGGGGGAGCGAGACGTCAGGCAAGCAGGCTGAGGATGAGACGGTAGGGAGGGTGTGGGGATGGAATCCTCCGCTCTCATCGCCTGCAGCTGCTGGAGGAAAGACATCCTCTGGGTCATCTCGAGAGAGGTAGTGGACGAGCGGGATGTTTTGCAGCACTCCATCGAGCTCAAGAATGATCGTTGCCACCTGGAAGGCGTGAGAACACGCAGCAGAGACGTTAGGACGGGCACCTGATGGCTGAACTCGTGACCTTCTTCTCCTGGATATTCACCCGGGGCCCCTAACTCAACTCTCTCTGCCGGGTTTGTCTGATCATGACTCACCGCACAAGAGCGGTCCTCCGGAACTGAAGGATGCACAACACTAGAACCTCCGTCAGGCGGCAAGGTCTCAAGTTCAGATCCCTGGTTCCCTTCCGATGCACCCCCTCCAGCGGAGGGAGCATCGACGTCGTCGAGCTTATCCTCCCCATCTGACGACCCCAAGCTCGTCTCCAGCTTGTCAGCATTCTCCTCTGACGACAAGATGTATCTCATGATGCCGCACCCGCCAGGCATCTCCCCCTCCTCACTCAGCGGGAAGCGCACCAGCCTGCAGGATAGCGTCTCAGGTCCATCATGTCCTCCCTCGGCCCCATCTCCTTGGCTGCCGCCATCGCTCAAATTGTCCTGGCGGCTGGTGGCAGCAGCTTTGACGAGCCTTTGAAGAATGCGCTGGCGATCGAGAGGGACGTTTGCTGCCTTGAATTCCTTCTGAGAGAACTCCCACTGTTTGCGGTGAACTGAGTGGATCGGGCGGTGAACAAGTTGAGGTAGCAGAGCAGGCGCGGGAGAATTTTCGTCGGTAGAAGTCGTCTGCTCTCTGCCTGCTTCCTTCCTATCCTGATGCTCGTCAGCTCTTGGGTGCTGCATAGGAACTGCAGCGGCCCGAGGAGAAGGAGCCGTTCCCTCCTGTGTCCCCTCTTCCCACATCATATCGTCGTGCTCACCGCATGCTGCATCGTCTTCCTCCTGCTGCAGCTGCTGGCAGGATTGATGACCTTCTCTTGATTGCTCGGCTGAACATTCCTGCCCTCTATCGCCTCCCTGATCCTGCCCTGAGAGCCGGAGGGATGGAGCAGCAGCCTGCTCAGCATCGCCCGGGGCCTCTCGCAACAAACCTGCCTCCTCTTGCACAACGTGTTCGTCTTCCTGACTCCCAGCACCTTCGCAATCGCCGCTTGCAACCTCCTTGGATGCCTCACTGCATCGCTCGCTCTCCAGACTGTCCTCACTATCGCCCTCGACCGATGCCTCGCCTTGCCACGTCATGCCTTCCATCTTCGCGCAGATCTTATCAACAAAGGAGCACTCAGAGGAGAGGAGACGGATGCGTTCTTCTGCACACACGATAGACAGCGTGGTCGCAAGCTCAGCAACGCCGCTCGTTCGGAAGGACTTGCCAACAGCTCGATCCCACACCGATATTGGGCTCATGCGCATGAATGAAACGAATCCAGACTCCCTCAAGGCTTCTTCGAACTGACGCTGATCGAGCTGCTTCTCACCGGACGTGTCCTGACGCGATAGAACTTTCTCCCATGAGCTTCTCTCGCCGAACTCACGGAGAAAGCTGATTACTTGCTCAAAGCTTGCTTTGCCTGCAAGGCCTTGGGTTTCAGGATCTCGGCGAGGTGAAGGCGCTGACATCTCCGAGCGACGAAGCTGCTGCTGCTGTCTGACAGCTTGTCTGCCTAATGGCATGCGGTTATCCTTCATCATCGACTTGACCGGCCGAGACTGAGGGTTGTACACTGAGAAAACTTGAGGAGAATTGATGTTCAAGGGAGAGGAGAAACCAACAGAGTTGGCACTGAGCGGAGCATCAGCTGATCCCCTTCCTCTCATGCTCCCAGGCATTCAAAGAGGAAGAAGAGGCAAAGAAGAGACTCTCATACGTTCTAACTCCAACATCAATGATGGTGAACAGGAACAAACATCTCTGCAGCGGCGACGAGGCTCATGGCTGGTAGAGGGCGAACATCAGGGGGTTGAGTTCAGCATCGTTGCATGATGATGCCATGGTTCAGAAGAACCGCCACCTCTGCCATGCCCGGCAACTGATATGATATTCGCGCTGATCTGCCATTCGAACCCCTAAATAACGGTTTGTAACTACTTTGCGAACGTTTTGTAACGAGTAAAATAATAACGGTTATGAGTTTGAGTCCATTTTGTAACGGAGCAGGCGAAGAGGCAATGGCGGAGAACTCGGGCAATGGCAGACCAGGTGAGGAGCGACGAGGAGGAGGATGACAGATAAGGGTGGAGAGACATGCATTCTATGATTGTTCTATGATTGTTCTCACTGATCTGCCTTGCTGTGTTCCTTGTTCTCGTGCCTTTCTCCTCTATACAAGGTCGTTTCAAGTGCGGAGTTGAAGCTTTCCTGCAATAGAAGCCAAGAGAAGTGGAATAGTTACGTTGCAAACAGATAGCATAGATAGTTACATTTCAAAACAATATGATGTGATCGTCAATCACATCATATTTGCTTTTGACGATCACATCATATTTGCTTTTCCTGATTCATCCTGTCCAGTCTCCAGTGTATCTGTCGTCGAGTACTCAAGGCCGAGCTTCCTCAATTTCCTGGACAGGTGAGTTATGCTCATCCCGGCTACCTCGGATGATCCTCGTCTTGCTATCAGGGCGCAGTGGGGATATGCCTTATTCGATGCTGGTTGCTGGGGATATGCCTCCGTTACCATCTCTACATTAGCTCCCATCATCTTCGTTCGTCGAGTGAGGGAGTCCACCCCTGGAAGGTGAGGCTAACGCGCGCGCGGCTGCATAACATGACTTGTCCGCAGCACAAGTGGTGAAGGAATGATGCCCATGGGAGCGTCGTCGTTGATATCCAACGCGGGAAAAGTGCTGTCGTTCGATCCGAGGAACCTGACGGAGATCGAGGAGGTTGAAGAGGAAGTGATGAGCTCTTTGAAACTCGGGGACGCTTCTGGAAGTTGGGTTTTCATGGTGGCGATTTCTACGTTGATTGCCGGAATTCTTTGCCCGATTCTAGGAGCACTCGCCGATCGGTACTCGGCCAGGAAGCTAATTACCTACACTACATCCGCCCTCTCTATCGTTTTTTTGACTATGTTTGCCTTTGAATCTCGAAGCTCTGACGCGCGAGAGATTCTCTTGGTCATTGGCATTGCAATGACGTTGACGTCAATCATGTACGAACCTCGTTGTTCCTATCTTGTTTTGATTCTGAGCATGCTCTCTTTTCCGCAGGCATTGCTTCTACAACAGTCTGATCATGTTCCTCTCGGGCAGAGAGGACATGGTGAAAGTTGCTTGCTTCCAATGTTTCATCGGCAATGTGGGGAGTGCAATCTTGATGGTTGCCTTGGGTATGTCAGACATGGAGAAGCGGGAGTTGAGTAGGGACTACATCATCTTCTGCTTCGTTGTAAGTGCGATATGGTTTGTCCTTCTGGCCATCCCCATGTGGATTTGGCTGAAAGAAGAAGACGACGATACTTACCTCGCGGGCACTTCACTTGCGGTAACGTGCTGCCGGCTGAGTCGTGTGGCCTGACGTTGCTGTCAGGATTCGTTGGTGCTCTCATGGAAAGAGACGCTTATCACGCTTCAAAACATTGAGATGATGAAGTTTTTGGTGGGCCTCATGCTCTTCAACGATGCAAACTCAACTCTGCATGCTGTTTATCTTGTGTACGGAGCACAGATTGGGCTGCCCGTGCATGCGCTTGTGCTCGGGGCTGTCTTCTACAAGGTTCTTGGTGCTGTAGCAGCCCTTGCTTGGCTTGGGCTGGCGCAGTACGCTGAGGCCAAGATCTGCTTCATGGCGTGTATCGTCCTTACCATCATCTCGATCATCATGTGCGCCTGGATGACGAATGTGGCGGACTTCTTCTTCGTCATTATCAGCATGACCACGGCGGGATCAGGAGCCTTCATCTTCAGCAAGGTGTTGATGGGGTCGCTCACCCCCAAGGAGAAGGCTTCCCACAACTTTGGGTTCATGGGGATGATGAATCGCGTCGCTGGTTTCTTCGGGCCGTTGCTCTTTGCGACTCTGACGTTCGCGTACGATGAGAAGGCAGGGTTCATCGGGCTGGTTGTCATGGCCATCGCAGGGCTCTTCGTCCTCTCGTACGTGGACTTCGAGAAAGGTCTGCAGTATGCAGAAGGGTACCATTACAGCCATGAGGAAGAGGAGAAAGTAGTCTAGGGGGGCCTGCTTGCAGATGCTGCAGCACGTGCGAAAACACTTGGCGTGGGAGTATTTGCTCTACGCTTTATTCGTTTCAGTGAGGAGCGAGGGGGATGAGATTTGCAAAAACTAGCAAGCTCGCAAGATATTTCGATGTACAGATACAGATGGAGGGAATGAAACTTATTTCGACTCCGATGCAATTTACTGAGTTTCGGCTCGATGGAAGTGCGAGCAAACGTCCGGCTATTGTACTATGAGAACATCTTCCTGCATTGATTCCCACCCTACCACCTATAGCCCTCTCAGCTATGCAAGCCACATCAAAGTCGTCATATCAAGGTCCAGTTTTATTTCCACTTTACCATTTGGAGCATCTAAGCTACCAAGGGAGCAGACATCTACAGACGAGCTCAAATCATCTCACGAGCTCAACTCATCATACGAGCTCAACTGTTGTGCTGAGGGATCTCGAGCCTTGTTGCATCCGCTGAGAGCTGCGTGCTCACTGGAAGGAATGAGGCGCAGATCCGCCTCCAAGTGGAATGTGCAGGATCGGCAGATGCTGGAACTGATTCTGAGGGAACAAGGTCGCCGGCGGCGCCTGCATGTGATGATGTGTTGCATGCTTCGGGTGGTAGTGATTGTGGAACAGCTGGTGGGACTCATGCACATGGTGCGGAACCACCGTAGAGGACTGGAAGTAAACCGGTTGTCCATTGACAGCTCCCTGCATCTGCTGCTGCATCTGCTGTTGCACTTGTTGGTGTATCTGTTGCTGCTGCTGCTGCTGCTGCTGCATCTGTTGCTGCAACTGCTGCTGCTGCTGCTCCATCATCGCCTGCTTGTGGGCATCGTGGTGGTGCGGATGGTGGTGGTGGGGGTGGTGGTAGAAGAGCGACTGGTGGGTCGGTGGCGGGTGGATGGGTGGGGCAGGAGGAGGAGGGAAGGAGTGGTTGGGGTGGAGGGGGTGGATGGGGTACATCGGGTTGCCCGCCATCGCGTGAGGAGGAGGCGCTTGTTGACCGCGTCCGTTCATATTTGCTGGAATATGGAGATGCGTCGCAATAAAAGTAACGCATGTAACGTAGATCCGCAATCTGAAACGGTTTGTAACGTTAGGTGCAAATAAGGCCTCATCCCCCTCCACCAAGTTTTAACTGTAATGGGTGAAATCGGGGGTAGGGGTTAAAAAAGATGGGGTCATGGCTGTTTTGGGGTATATTTTCATGGATGAGGGTAGGGTCATGAATACTACTTGTAGGGGTGTAATGTCAAAATGGTGACTTTGAAGGGGTGATACAACAAGGTGAAAGGGTGGGTGGCAGGCAGTTGGCAGTTCTATGGCTGGAGCGTGGCAGCTCAAAAGGGCATGGAGACAAGATGGGCGGAGGAGGAGGAAGAGAGGAGGAAGAGGGGAGATGAGATGGAGATGAGCAGCTTCAACAGAGCAAGATAGGCAAGAAGTGACAGCGCAACAGAAACTGAGAACGATATGAGAATGGCGTGAAGGGGAAAAGATATCAGGGAGTAACGATTCACTGAATCATGGTAGGTTGTAGGAGAGAGCTGGCATGGAGTGCAGATGAATGTGAGCTCAGGTGTATAAGTAATTAGGACAGCGATGGGTGCTTCACAGGAATGAAACGGATGATCATTGGATGTGAGAACTGTTTGTTCAGTGTTCTTTGTCCATCTATTGGACGCCTCGAATGGTTGTTGTACTCCCTTGTACTGAAGCAAAATCACCAGGAAACACGGAGGAGCAGCGAGTGACGAGGGAAATTCCTATCAACATGGTTGCTGTCTACGATGAGGAGGGCAATGCTTCAGATCATGTCAGCCTTCCCGCCGCTCCTGGTGCAAGTCCAAGATTCTTTGCTGCGGACTTTGGAGCGGATCCCGTGAGTCAGAACCGAACAGGAAGAGGAAGAGTGGAAGAGGAATTGAAAATGGTGAGCGCATGTGTGCTCTGCAGGATGACGCAACCCTGACTGCTCTCTCTGCCCGCAGTTGAACTGGTACAAGCTTGCCAACGAAGCGGCAATGAAGGCAGCGCTTGTGAAGCAGAAGAGATTCAAGGAGGTTCCTCGTTACAATCCTGCTGCTGAGAGAGTGAGACAGAAGTCCGTGTGGTTGAAAGAGGTAAATATCATCGCAACCCGGCATGGAAGCTGGTTGTCTTGTTTACAGCCTTGACACAGATCTCGGCTTCTGTTGAAAACAGTCCACTTGAGCTCCCAGTTGATAAATACCGGGAGCTGTTGAACAAGGTGAAACAGATCTTGGAGTGTGATGGATTGTTTGAAGTTGAGATTCTTGTGTTTAGGAGGCTGAAGAACGACAAAAACACCAACAGAAAGCTGCTGAAAGGCACGAGAAAATCCTGAAGCTAAAGCAAGACCTCGAGGCCAAGGTTCATACCTCTTCTCCTCTCACACGGGAATAGCTGAGGGCTCTCTGCAGGAGATGAGACGTGTAAGGTATCGCAGGTTTCTTGCAGAGCAGGAGAAGCAGGTGACATTAGTGCTCTTTGCTCACTTTCACTCACCAGCGCCGCCGCAGAAGAAAGCTAGACTAGGACAGGCCGACGGGCTACAAGCCATCTATGGAACAGGTAGATCGACAGATGAAGTCAATAGATTCTCACGTTTTGCAGAGTTTCATCAAAACCCTGAAGATATTGGGATGTCACCGGATGCTGTAAACAATATCAGGAAATTAGAGAAGTTGGAAGAGAGAGTGGCTGGTATTGAGAGCTGTCGAGTCCTTTGGATGTTTCTGAAGGATGTGACAGCCATCATGAAAGACGAGCAGACTGTGAAGGAGAATGCTGTCACCCTTGGCCTCAACCAGGTGTGGAAGCGGTTTCTGCCTGTGACGTCACTAGCCTTAACTTGTGGTTGATCAAGGCAAGGGACGTGGGTTTCATCAACAGCACATCGAGCAGCGAGATTGATGTCAACACAGGACAAGTGATGCATGAAGACCATCTTACTCCGATCATGACACTCCGCAGTTCAAGTTCGTCAAGAGGAGGACAGAAGCAAAGCTGAATCAACCGAGCCAAGTAATCTTCACTGCTGACATAACGCGCATCTTGCTTCAGCCATGGCTGATTGACTCTCTAGGTCTTTTACACAGCCAAAATCATTCCTCCTAACGATGAGCGACGAGAGGTGATGAAATTCGTTCTTGAACCTTCCGAACGCCAACAATACTGGTTTCTGTTATTCTGGCCCTTCATGCTTGGTGTATTCTCACGTTTTATTGGTTGTTCTTTGCTTGTTGTTGATTTCTGATTTTCGTTTTTATCTCATCCTTGCACTATGGATGCTTTGGATCCCTCCTTTCCACCTCTTGCTACCCTCACACCTGCCACAGGCTCTCACTCTCAGAGACGAGTTCTCGAAACAGGACTTGATAGGTTTTCAATTCCTATCCCGCAACACCAGCGACCCGTACCGAGCCGTGCAGGTCTGCTGCTAGTTCTCGTCCTCCTCCGTTTCACACCCTCCAAAGTCTCAGAGGAGCACGAGGAAGAGTCCGAGCCTGTACAGCGACCAAAAGCATCGAGCGTTCTCTGCGGGGGATGCGCGAGAGCCATCTAAGGTCAGACGATGGAGGATGGGGAGGAGGAGAAAGAGATGGAAGAGGATGCAGAGGAGGGACAGCGGGTGGGAGAGGATGGAGAAACTCCTAGGAAAAAAGGAGGCGGTGTCTTAGTGTCTTGGTCGCAGGACGAGATTCGTGCAATGCTGCATGCTGAGAGCGCTCAGAAGGTGAGGACATGACCATGACGGGGAGCAGCTGATAAGAAGAGCAGCGGCAAGAGCGCGAAGAACAGAAGCAGAAGGACCTGATGGAGGCGGAGAGGGTGGATGAAGTCATCAAAGAATGGCTACGAGGAAGGAACAGGTGCTGAACCATGAGCTGGGGCCGATCAGGAGGTGAGCTGACGCGGGAGGTTTGCCTTGCAGGAGGGCTCTGAAGAGAGAGAAGAAAGTACGAGACATGATGAGGAATGATCGTCGGTTCCTTTCTCAGCTTCAGGTGTTGCTCGTGCCCCCTCTTCGACTCTTCGACTCATCGCAAGCGCAGGTCAACAAGGACGCGCGCGATGCTGCACAACCCGCAGCCGCCAGCTCTCCCATGCTATCTGCACAAGCAGAGCCCTCTATCTCCACGACAGGTTGAGACCCGCTGGAGGTGCAGGAGGTGTGCTAAGGAGAGCTTGCCTGCCAGATTTCAACACTGATGACATCGACAAAAAACTGGAGGTGCGAAACTTGATGCCGCTGCCCAGCAGTCGACCTGACGTCCATTGCAGGTGCTGCTGGAGCAGCAAAAGGAGATGGAGAAGTGGAAACCGCCGGTGAGAGGAGAAGCAGGAGGATGGAGGCGGTGAGTTGAGAGCAACTGTGACCTGCAGGTGTCAAGACGATGAAGCCTGCGAGTATGGTGGACGCCTGTTCCCGTCCTTTGTGGGACGACATTAAAGTTGGACAAGTTTCAGGGGCTTCCTACTTGATGCCGTAGCTCAACCGATTGTTATCTCGGCCTCTAGTCCAACTAATAGACAACAAGACAAACCTCCCGCCCTACTTGAACCGACGAGCATTCGGCGATGTCAGATAGAGTTTGATGGGAAAACTTAGTCCCACGGAAAGTAGTCGCCTGCTCTTCGTTATGAGCATGAACTGGAAGAGCTCGCAACATAACCTGGTTTCCCGATGAACTCGCTGTTGGCGATCTCTCTTGACTGGATGGAAGCCATGAGCAACTTCATTGCTGCGATGTTGTACATTTAAGCCTTACCTCCATGTCATTTGACGTCCCAGCATCGATACAGCATTCGGTAATATTCTGCAAGAATATGAGTCAGTTTGTGATGACCATAAGTGACAATCTCGATAGCCGTGACAGTACGACAGAAACGTCGATGGCAGGCAGATATGCAAGAGACACCCTCAGAGTATGCGGATGAGATGATGGGACGACCTAGGCGCTAGCGGAAGGAAATGACCTTCCAGCAGGTCCAGGACAACCCAGGTGACGAGGACAAGGACAAGAACGAGGAAGAGATCACTAAGAGATCTGCATGATGACCTTGCAGGAGCTGGAGGTTTGGCTGACGGGGTCATAGACGGTGATGGGCGAGCAGAAGCCCGAGCTTAGCATCGCTCGCGCCTCCCGCAACTGTGCGAACATGCTTGACAACCTTTATCAACATCTGCCTTTCTTTTTCAGTCAAAAAAGGAAGCCTACTACAACCGTGAGACCACTGATACAATTGTTTAGTTAAATCAGTACATCAGTATTAAGTTCAGTGTGACTGGAACACTGACCGTACAAGCCCAACTGTCACATCATCGGATACGCTACGGTTGAGCCTTCTCTTTACTCAAAGTTAAGTTACAAATCCGAGTACGAGGACTGTTGTCCCGGTGCAGTGCGGCGCGGCGGCCAGCCTGGGCCTGGCAGGGCCGCGGCTCAGCGCCGCGGCTGGCCCCGGGCCCACTGCCGGGCCGCCCGGCCCGCGGGGGGCGGCCGTGTCTCGTGACGGGCCGGACTCCAGAGTCACAGTGTCACAGTGATTCCATGCGGTGGCCGTGACGGATCACATGGATCTTATATCATAGTAGAGCCCAGCCTGGCAGGCCCTTGCCGAGCACAAAAACTGAGAAATTGTACTACAGGCTCAGTTCTGGAACCGGTACGGTGGAATGACCAGTGAGGCCCTTGAAGCATCGGAGGCTCGGGGCGGCGGACAATACTCCTGGTTACTATCTGTATATACTAAGCATGGGGTCCTGTCTTCCTCCCTCTCTCTCTCTCTTCCCTTCTCTTCTCTCTCTCTCTCTTTCTCCTCATTCTCTCTCTCTTCCGAAGTTCCGAGTCACTTCCTTTCTCGCTATCTCTTAACCTTTTCTCTTTCTCCTATCCTTCCAGTCTCTGTTATCTTCCAAAAAAGAAAAAAAAAAAAAGGTTCCAGTCCTTTGCTCTCCTTCATGATACACTCCATCAGGCCGGGCCACTCAGTGTAACGAGTCTCATGATTCTCTTATCGCCCCCCGCGGTATGGCCGGCCCGGCCCGCCGGTCACCGGGGTCGATCGGCACCACCGGGCCGGGGGGTGACACTTGTAAAGCCGAAATGAAGCAGGACCATTTTAATTTCAAGTTCCAGACTACCAGACATGTCAAAAAAGTGCCAAACTTGACGCAGTGGTACTAATAATGATAACACTTTTATTTACTAAGTTTTTGTTTCCAGGTCCCCATCAACTGTACAAAGCAGCTTACTAAGTTAAAAACTAGACCGACATTTACGGACTCCCGATTGACGACCCACCCACCCGGTATTTTGTATCACAGTTCAGGGACACCAACGGGTCTCTTGTTCTTTGAACTCGGCCGGGGGTACCAGAGTAAGTAAATAGTACCATATATACTACTGTATATCCGTTTGTACCAGAGTAAATAGTACCATATATACTACTGTATATCCGTTTGTACCAGGTCCGTCTCCAATCGATGTGCCAGGCACGTCAAGTTCTAAAGATGTAAGACTAGTTCGGAACGGGGGTACGGTACTGCAGCCATCAAGGACCACGGGAGACAGACTTGTCAAGGGCTAAAGCCGTGAAATCCTTTATGTCTGGTATTAGTGCAGCAAGTGCTAGCCAAGTTTAGGAGGAGAGGACCTAATCAAGATCGAAGGGAACATTGAAATGCTCGACCTCTATCATTTTTTGGTGGGGTGGGTGGGTGCGATGAGAATTTGACGGCCGCCCCCTTGCAGCTGGACTGATTCCATGGCGGGAGGGATGGCAGCAAACAAGCTGCTGCTCGCAGCCATGGCGTTGCTGTTGAGTAGTGCACCTTGTTGTGATGCGAGAGTAAGCAAGGAAGAGTTCGAACATGGTTTTCGGCATGGAGAAAGGCGTTCTGTGGTTGCCAAGAACCTTCCAGGAAGACCTCTCATGATTTACAACCCCGACACTTTGCTGCTTCATCATACAGAAGACAGAGCACATGCAAAGCTCAAGACTCGATTCAGACAAGACTCGACCATTGCTCAGCAACAGATTGTGTTTGAGGAATCAAGCAAGAGTCATTACCTTGTTCGAGTGAAACATCCCGCTCCTCCCGACATGCTCTCTCAGTTGAAGGCCACCAGCGGAGACAAGTTTGTGCAATACATTCCATACGACACGTATGTGGTTGCTATGGAACCTTCCAGGAAACTTCGTGTTGCGAGCATGAAGCATGTGGAGACGATTTATCACCTCCCGTCGAGCATGAAGATATCCAACGACCTGCAGGATTATATCTCCTTGGCGATGAGATCGCTCTCAGCCAAGCAGCCCGAGACAGTCATCAACAGCAACCCCCAGCACCCTGAGAAGCGAGGGACCCTCGACAACAGCCACAAGAAACACAAGGGAAACCAGCGAAACTCCAAGTCTCAGACCAAGCAAGACAAATATGGACAAGACAAGGAGAAGGGAGCACCGGCTGGACCTGATGAGAGCGTATTTCTTGAGGCAGCCATCTCAGTTCATCCGGATCAAATGTCTCTCACCAATATGCTCCGATTGTTGGAAAACGCTTTCAGCACAAGATCGGGCAAGATCGCTCAAGTATGGGCGAAAACAAGCAATATGCTGACGATTGAAACCAACGCGCAAAACGTCGGCAAGGTTGTTGAGATTTTGGCAAATCAAGCATCGGTGAAATGGATGGAAAAGAGGACAGAGTATCGCACTTTCAACAAGTATTCTTCTTTGATCGTTCAGGGAACCTATCAGTGGCAACCAACCAAAACGAAGCTGGAACAGCTCGGTTTGAACGGAAAAGGACAAACAGTGGGAATTGCAGACACTGGCATTGATTTTGATTCTTGCTTTTTCTATGATCCCGAGGTTCAGGTCTCTGTGTGTGAGGATTGTTATTACTACTCTTACTCGGGTTGCGCCAGCATGTGCCCTGCTCAACCCAGTCACCGTAAGATTTTGTCTTACAACTCTTATCCTCCTCCTCCCCCCTATCCTCAGTCTTATGACTCGTATCATGGTCACGGCACGCATGTGTCCGGTATCGTTGCTGGCGCCGCTGGTCCCATCAACACTCTTGCGACTCAGTACAATGGATCAGCTCCAGGAGCGAAGATCGTGTTCGACGATGTTTCGAATTTCGAGCCTTACCTCAACTACCTGCCATGGGACCTGAGCTCGAGTATCTATCCCCATGCATACAACAATGGAGCAAGGATTCACTCCAACTCATGGGGGGGCTATTCGTCTGGATACAATTGTCAGTGCATGGAAACCGATTCATTCATGTACGACAAAGATGATTTTCTGGTTGTGTTTGCTGCTGGGAATAGCGGTCCTGATCACTTCTCGATTGGCAGTCCAGGGAATGCCAAGAACATCCTATCGGTAGGATCAAGCTTGAACTCCCGTGAGTCGTACGTGGCGCATGGTTATGGTACCTACTTCAACCTCTCCATGCTGCTCTCCGATGGCTCAGACGAGAGGCTGGTTGACATCCTCCCTGCCTCCTTCGGAGCTCCGCTGACCCCCGACACCAGAGCTGTCAACGCTTCAATAGTCGGTCAATACTTTTACAGTGGGTGCTACCCGCCTGGTCCATGGTGTAAGGATATTCAGACTCTGCTGTGCCTGCCTCGTCCGGACTCGAGCTCATTCTGCTCGGTACAGACTTCATCTGATGCTGAGATCTCAACAAGCTGGTCAGACATGCACACTGTTGAAAGCCTAGGCAACGTTCAATCGAGCATCAACTTTCAGGATTACCAGACTTGCGATGTCAGCGGCTCTGACATGTCGATGACGACATGTTCTCTCTCAATGTACGTTGACAGAACATCTGGAGGTGATGTCGATCTTATGATTCAAGTGCCTTTGTCGTACTGGATGGGCAGCAACAGTGTCACTAATGTCAGGGGAATCACTGTTGCTGGCGACTATGTTCCTATGGACTTCAGTGTGTCAGGCAGTCAGTCGTGTGGACAATCAATCAGTACAACTTACAGGATACCGTCAGACGTGTCGGGATCGATTCAGATCGTCGTTGACTATGATCGATCGATATCGAACCAGTTTTATTGTTCCTTCAATTGGTTTGGAGTAACCTTCACGATGATTTCTCATGCCACTACTTCATGGGACATCTTGTATGACTCGTCTATTTCTGAAATGTACAACTACCACTATTACTCTTCTTCGAAAATGCACATAGAATTGAAGACTGAAGTTGATTTTTGTATTTTTGGAGAAAATGCGAGGAATCGCACGTATTTGACGGGAGGCTCTATTGCCTTTGGTTCTTCACTGGACGCGTTGTCTTCGCAGTTCATTTTCAACAATGACTACGAAGCAACCCCTTTGTTCATGGTAGGTAAAAAAGTGCAGGACAATGGAGTCAACGGTTACACTGTTTACGTGAAGACTTATTACCCTCAAGGATCGTGCAATCAAGAATCACAAGTGACTCTGTACGAGAACAGCAGCATTGTATACACCATCATCAGCGCTGTCACCACTTCTTATGATGACTCCTTCTCGCTTTCAAAGCAAGGGTATACTATCTTCTCAAATCCACTTGAAATCAACAAGACGGTGACTCTGACAGGCTTCTCTAATCCATTGAGCGGTTACTTTCGAGGCTTCTTTAAAGGCAACATGATTATTTCTCCTTTCATGGGCTATTGCGATGAAGTGCTCATGGCCTGGAATGCTCAGAACATGGGAGCCTCTGCGCTGATCTTGTACGAACCTGCGATCCAATACCCCGCGCCTGTTTTGAAAGCAACAGGAGGACCGAACGAAATGTTGAAGGATCAGATCACGATACCTGTCGCTGGCATCTCAGGTTTGGACGCGTACAATCTCACAACAAGATGGTTTCAGCAGACCTGCGCTCCAGGCTTCTCTTATTTCTGCCTCTATTCTATGCAGTTGGCCAAGTTACCACTGGTCAGCAACGTTCGCTCAGGACAAGAGTACAAGCACACCGACTTGTCGATCTTCTCATCGCGGGGACCAACCTATGATTTCAGAAACAAGCCGGACATCGTCGCTCCTGGTCAGAACATCTTCTCCGCTTCTTCCGATGGAATCCGCAACAGCTTCCAGTGCGCTGACTCCGTCGGGCTCAACAACAACTGCATCCTCGAGATGAGCGGAACCTCCATGGCTACTCCAGCAACCGCCGGGGCAGCCGCCATAGTGAGGCAGTACTTCGAGGAGGGCTACCATGTCACGGGCTCTCCCTCAGACGCGGATGGTGTCAACCCTTCCTCGGCGCTAGTCAAAGCTATGATCATTCAAAGCGGCAAGCCTCTGCGCCATGCTTACCAGTATGGGTCTAAGATGGTGAGGAACGGCTTGTGGGGCTACCTTGATATCTACGGAGGAAGGTCTGGAGTCGCATGGCAGGAGTCGACTGCAAGCCCTTCAGCGGAGCAGGGGTATGGGCTGCTTGACTTGTCGTCAGTCTTGTGGTTCGGAGCGGATTCAGACTTTGTGTTGAAGACTTACGATCGGGTGCAGCTGTCTCAAGGTCAGGTCGTAAAGAAATGCTTCTCCGTCTCCGGCGGCTCTCAGTTCCGAGTCACTCTAGTGTGGACGGACCCCCCCGGGTCTCCCTACGCCTCCAAGGCGCTCATCAGCGATCTCGACCTCGTGCTCATCGATGGCAGTGGCAACACCTTGTACGGCAACAACCGCTCGGGCTCGAACATGGACCGAACCAACAATGTGGAGCAGATCACCCTGCCGCAGGCTCCCGCAGGCACCTACAGCGTCTACGTGTCTGCCTATGACTTGCCTCAGGGGTCGCAGAACTTCGCGCTGGTGGTGACGGGCGCCATCACTGCTGAGCCAGACTGCAGCTCATCGCCCTCCTGCCCCAACAGCTGCTCAGGTCATGGCACGTGTAGAGCCCCCATCTGCGATTGCGACGCAGGATACTTCTCGATCGATTGTAGTCAGTCACCCAAATGTGGTGATGGGATTTTGACAGCTCCGGAGCAGTGCGACGATGGCAACTCAGTCTCAGGCGACGGCTGCTCGTCGACCTGCCAGGTGGAGCAAGGCTGGCAGTGCGACCAAGAGGTGTGGCCGCAAGACAAGTCCTCCTGCTTCGAGTGCACGTGCGGATGCGACAGATACTATCAAGAGTCTGGCGTTGTCCACCATTCAAGCGCTTTCAACGGCCAGGAATGCATACATGACATCGAGCCGACTGGTTTGACGTCGCTTCAGGTTTCATTTCTTGATATGCGGAGCAATCCTCAGCTTGACCTTGAAATCTACACCTGTGCCAACTCAGACTGCAGCCAATGGAACTATGATGGCTCGATATCAGGCAGCCACATGAACTTGTGGTTGCCAGACGCTCAGATGTACAACTCTGCGTTCAGAGCCAACGTGTCTAAGGTGAGAGTGGCTTCTTACAGCCCGTTCCTGCTCAAGTATGGACCCATCGTGTACGACGTGTGCGGCGATGGCATCCAAGAAGGGCTGGAGGCGTGCGATGACGGGAACCTTGTCGACGGCGACGGATGCTCGTCGACATGCAAGAAGGAGTGCACACTAGAAAATTGCTGTCACTTCGACTTGTCACCGCATGACGTCTTCACTAAGAGGTACGAGAACGAAGTCGCTCCTGGCGCCACGTGCGCCTCGTTCAGCATCTCCGACAGCAACAACGGTATGAGCGAGATCGAGCTGGCGGTCATCCCAACTCATTTGCTCCCAACTGTCTGCGAAGAATTGAACGGCGACAGCTCCTCGTCTACAAGCATGAAGTTCAACGGATCGTCGACAGCAAGCCAGTACGACTCGGTCACTGGAACCATCATGGGCTATTGGAGCTTGCTCTATCCTTCCTCCTTGTCCGACGGGATGCAGAACATGGATGACGATAGCTTGCTGCTTCCTGACTTTGGCTTCGACTTTTGCGTGGAGGGCAAGAACGTGAGGAATCGGACGTACATCAGTTCCAACTCCTACATCACCTTCTACAACGGCTTCTCCTTCCACTCTGGTCTGTCTGCTTCCTGGCCTCCCACACCCACCATGTTCGTCGGAGGCTCCGACACGTCGGCTCAGCTCGTGCTGACCAAGAGAGTGTATGAGGCGGGCATGCGAGGCTTTCTCGTTCGGTTTGAAGGTACAGCCTCAACCAGCGGTCAGCTCGGCTGGCCCAACATCATCTGGGAGGCGACATTCTTCGAGGACAACCGCATCAGAGTGTCTGTCGGGCTCATGGCGAACAGCTACGGTCTCTCTCTGCTGAGCGACGGCAACGGCAAGATCCTCCTGCCCGTCTCCTTCCAGCAAAGCTCAGCTGAGCTCCTGCACCTCAAGAACTTCTGCACTATGTACAAGCAGCAGGTCGCGTGCGACAGACTTGAGTTGAGCTCGCAGGGGGAGATTCAAGTCTTGCCCAACGAGTTTCAAGTCTTCCGCGGTCGCTCGCTCACCTTGAACTACTTCTCCACCGTCAACAACCGGACCTCCTCGCCATTTCCCTTCGAGCTGTCATGGGGAGGCAAGTCAAAGCCCATGTGCGGCAACGGGCTCCGAGACTGGACGTTCCGCAGGCTCACAGCGGTGAACTGCACTTCGACGACATCTTACTCGTACACGTCAACGATGGCTGACGGGATGGGAGGAGTCTACTCTCAGTCCTTGACGATGTCTACTTGCGATGTTGATTTCCGACCTGCGATCAACTCATCGGGGCCCATGTACCTTCTTGTCGACATGGACTCGACCTCTCTCTACGAGGGTTCCATCATGAACGTGACCCTCAACGGCGTCAGCATCCCCTTCTCCTCTCCTTACCAGATGAGCCCCACCTGCGGGATGAAAGTTCCAATCGTCTTCTCTCAAGTTCCTCCCAACGTTGAGGGGCCGAAGTTCTCTCTGCAGATCAACATCGAGAGTCCTAAATGCTGGTACTGCTCGTCCCCCTCCTGCCTCTACATCAACGCAGAGGCTTTCCTCGCCGCTCCTGACGTCTTCGAGCAGTGCGACGATGGCAACCAAGTGGACGGTGACGGATGCAGCAGCACGTGCACCATAGAGCCCGGGGCCTCGTGCGACAGCTCCTTCAGCATCGGGTCGCTGCAGAGAGGGCCGGACGTCTGCCTCGGCAAGTACGGCAAGCAGGTGCTGGGAGGATGCTCCAACTGGATGGCGATGCTCAACTCGTCGACGCATCCGTTCCTGTGGGGTGAAGACCCGAGCTACAGGAACTGCTCGCTCCCTTACACGTGGGACGAGATCATCATTCCAGCTCTCAAGAACTGCTCGGTGCAGTACAAGATGGGAGGCCTGGGAGTGCTCATGACGGATCAGTTCAAAGTTTGGATCTGCGTGAAGGATCACCCGTGTGCGTTGAGTGCGAGCAACCCTTACTTCTGCTTCGTCTACGATGAGGACAAGGAAAGGTTCATCCCTTGGGGAAGCAACTCCAAGCTTGAGCTCTTTCGGCTTGCCTAGTGAGGTTCTTTGACTGGTTGCTTTGTTGTTCGACTCACGCTTGTTTATGTTAGGGGGAAGGCTGGGACAAGATGCCGCTTTGACGTGCTCTGCTCGACCAAAATGCGTATCATTGTTCTTGGTAGTGCTCTAGTGCAGTGATTCATAATAGATATGAAATTGCGCTTCGGCTTGAACAGTATTCCGCATGCTTCTGATGTACATTTGCCCCATCTCTTGTCATGTCTCAAGGGCGAAAAACATCGAAGGTGTGGACGATGCAGTTTCACAACGCTCGTAGCAATCACCACCTTGCCGCATCCCTCAGAGAGGTCTGCATCCCCCAAAGAGCTTGACTGAAGCTTGACTCTGACGCTTGACTGTAACTTCATTCTGACCCGGAGCTGGCAGTGTTTCAAGGAAGAGTCGGAGTCGAGAGACTTCCAGGGGTCCTGCGGGTCGAGACGAGGGGAGCAAGCATGGTCAGCGAGTGAGGCAGGGGGGAGAGGCAGGGCGTCTTCCTGCGTCAAAATGAGGTTGACGAGGCCGGACGTGCGGTACTCAGGGCACATCCAGCATTCTTGATTGTAGGTGAAGTTGGCTTTAGGGAAGCCCGTGGGGTTCGGGCAGAAGAAATCTTGACCTCCTTAACACAAGTCTCCGCTTGTCAGGTTGCAGTCCGCGTGCGAGCTGCAAGGCTATCAGCTCTCCTGACAGTTGACAGCTGATTGTTCTGTTGGAGAGTGAGAAGCCGATCCATGGAGGAGGAGGAAAAGTCGCTCACAGTGCCGTTGTGGAGGAGGATGCCCTACTCGCGGATGGAAAACAAGCGCAACTGTGACTTTGGAACCAGCATCAGTACTCGCCTCTGTTGTTTTTCTTGATGCTCACACGACACAGCATCAGGTGGCTGCCGCCACGGAGTAGAAGGAGAGCGAAGACCAGCAGCCTGTTGCAGGGTGGGGTAGTGCTCAAAGGTACACTCACTGTGACTGTCAACACGAATGATCGAATGTAGGTAATATTCTTTTGATATTTTCTATCATTGACGAGTTTTCAGGAGATGGAAATGCGAATTAAGGAATTGGAATCAGAAAATGCTGAGCTGCGAGCAAAACTCAACGCCAAGTAACGACGGCTCTAAAACCCGAGAAAAGAGGATTTTCAAGAAATGTCTTTTCGTTTCTACGATGTTACATTTCCATCATTTTTTTGTTTTGAATGACTTCTTCGTAAGTCTGCACAGCCAAGGATCGTTAGATTGAGCTTCACAATTGTGCTGAAATAGAAAACAAACATTCCGCATTCAGAACATTTCCTCTACATCGAGAGACAAATGACAAGATAAAGGAAAGCATAAGAGAAAGCATCAGACCCCCATGCAAGCCTTAGCTAGTTGCAATGACATCCCCAACCATTTTTCTGCCTGCTTCAGAATGCATCAGAACTTTTATCACTGCAGATGTGAAAGCTTGTCAACAATCTGTAAGGTTCTTCCATAGAAATAATGTTCAATACCCGCGTTGCATGCGAGAACTGCACTGATCTGAACGAATCTCGAAGGAAAATTTTCGAATTTCTGGCAGATCTCCAGAATTTCCTCGGCTAGATCATGCTGTGGAATGACATCTCAGCATCGAACTTTGATTATCGGCGACACCGACTATAGTCTCACAGCTAGAACTTGAGTAACCTTTGACGTACTACTCAAATGCTAGGGGGGGGGGGGGGGGGGGGGGGGGGTAGGGGTTATTACGAGGGGTATGGTAGACTCCCGATTTGAGGTGAAAATCCATAGAAATAGAGGGGTCAATGCATCAATTTCTGATGGGGGAGGGGTAGGGGTAGGGGTCAGGAAGCGAAGAGGCGTGGTGGGATGGCGGCCCTGTTGGGTCGACGAAGCGCAGGGATGGCGGCGACTGCGGCAGCGACGATCATGCTCGCGCTTGCTATGATGACAATTGTGGCTGTCATGAGAGGGCCGAGCAGGAGAGATGAGCTGAAGGGCTTCTCTTCTGAGGAAGCTTCCAAGGACTTGCAGAGCTACTTCCATACGGAGGCTGAGAGAGTGAAGAAGGAGAGTACCAATGAAGTGAGGAAGGTGACAGCAAAAGCTTCCAGGGCATCTCTCGACAGCTACTTCAAGAAGCAGTCGTTGGCGATCAAGAAGAGGTTGCATCCGACCCCCCCTGAGGAGGAGATGTCAGCCAAAGCCGCGCAAGATGACCTCAACAAGTACTTCGACTCTCTTCCCACTCAGTCCAAGAGGGTGAAAATCAACCAACTCTCTGACGAGGTGATCCAAATCTCTTGATCTTGCTCAGCCGCGTTATCCCCTGGTCTCCCTCCCTCCCTCCCTATCTATCCCTTCCTCCCTCCTTTCTCTCCCTTCCTCGCTATCTTTCTCTCTCAAAGCAGGCAACATTGGATTCTGCCTCTTGGTCATCAACTTGGCCCTGACATGCGCGTGCTTGCAGGTCAAGAGCCTGGCACAGGATGTCAAGAAGATCATGGACCCCGTGAAAGCTCTTGAGGACCATGCGTCAAAGGAGAAGGAAGCCATGGACAGGTAAAGGGTTGACAGTCCCTTTCGCCCCTCAGCTGAAATATCTTCACAGTCTGCACAAGGAGAACGAGAGGATGCTTGAAGAGAGCAGGAGGCAGAGGTCCGAGGTTGAGGACTCCTTTAAGAAGGCAATCTCAGATCAGTGTCTGAAAGTGAGCAATACTGACTGTCCAACTGCAGCAAAACGAGCGAACTGCCAAAATGATTGACATGGCATCGCGAGCTGCTTCGGATGCGGAGGAGGCCAGCAAGCATAGCAAGTCAACGACTGTTGTTGTTCGCCAGGTCAGAGCGATTAATGCTGCTGCGAGGTGATGACTCAGAAATGTTTTTCTCGCCGTCACAGAACCTCGCAAAGCGAACAACCAAGTACGAAAGGATGAAGGATGTCAACCCCCGTGTTTCCGTTGAGGGGCTTCCTCCTGGTTGGAGTGCGTATCTTGATCGCAGAACCAAGTACGTCTACTACTACAACAAGGCGAACAGGAAGAGCACGTGGATCAATCCCAAAGGCTCGCTGGTAGAGGAGCTGATGTTCACCCTCACGGCTGCTAACTTTGCATAGGTTCACGTCGAGGGCATGCCGTCTCCGTGGCAGGCATACAAGATCGAGGTAGAGCATCTAAAGGCTGGTTGTGACGGATTCCTGACTGTGAGACAGCATGGAAAGCTCTACTACCTTAACCCGAAGACTGGAGAATCAACGTACGAGTCGTGCGAGATCCATTAGCTTGAGGGTTGTTGAACTAGGCTGTCTGTAGGTGGGAAGACCCTCGGGTCAGGCCGGGAAGGAAAGTCTTGGACTTGATCCGCGAGCACGACAGAGTAAGCTCCTTCTCTAGTGTCAGTCTCCCCTGTTGACTCCTCACAGCATAGGAATCTCGGCCTTGCTGAGAAGTCGGCCAAGGTGATTTGGAGGAGGATGAGGAAGATTATTGGGATGACAAGAATTGCTGCAGCTCTCTGCCTTGGCTGATGACCATGGGGTGTACGCGCACAACTGGCCTCGCTCACAGGTGAGGCGAAACTCCTTTCCACGACTTCTTACCTCCTTCCCCTCGAGTTGGTCCTCGCTGACATGGTCTCAGTGGACGGACAAGGCGTGGATGAAGTTCTTGAATCCTTCAAAGGAGAAGGTAAACGCTGGTCCTCTTTTCTTTCGTTTCTTCGTTCTATCTTCCCTTTCGCTCACTGACATCGCTGCTCTCCAGCTCTCGTCGCTCACGTCCGGTCAAGAGCTTCGCCAGGTTGCGACCTTAGCTCACGAGGGAGAGACGGAGAGCTGACGGTCCACCTGCAGGGCTACGTGGGATCTGAGCAGAATCAGCTGCAACCAGCTTCTTCGAGCAGCTACTGAAGGAGGAGAAGGGCGCCCTAAGGCCTCTGATGAACTTGTACATGTAACTCAAGAGACCGAGAGAACGTAGAGGACGACCAGCGCGATTCACGTTTTCTATCTAACAGTAAAGAAACATCCCGACGAAGTTCATCGTCTTCTAGTTTACAACCATCTCGTCATGCTCCTGAGATTCTTCACAGCTTGCTGCACTTGCGTCACGTCCAGCACCTCCGCCACGTACTGCTTGGCCGCGTCAAAGATACCATCGAGTTGCCCCAGAGCTGTTGAAGGGCCCGAGCCTTCTGCTGGACAGTCCTCGTCGTCCTGCATGACGTCAGCCGGCAAGTTGAGCTCCAGCACGCGACAACCTGGCGACAAGCCTCCTCTGGGTCGGGTGCGAGTCTGAGCGAGGGAGTCAGGGGCGCAGAAACGAAATGATCGATGAAGGGAGGGAGAGAAGAAGTTTGAAAACAAGCAAGGCAGCAGAGCAAAATGAGGAGGAGAGGAGGGGGAAGCGGTAGAGGAGAGGAAAACAAAAGAGAGGAAGAGATGATGAGCGGAAACTCAAGCCCACCCAAGGGGTTCGAAGAACGCGTGCTCCCTGAATGCAGCAGCTTTCATGCGCTGGAGAGGATCGGGTTCGATGCAGCGGAGGAAGAGGTCTTTGAAGTCCTGAGAGTCGGAGAGAACAGACAGGATGACGTCAGCGCGAGCGCGGGCGTCTTGGCCATCCTCTTCGCTCAGTGGAGCCAGGCAGACGTCTCCCTGCTCGCCTCGCAGCAGCGTCTCGTCAGCATGCCTCTTCCTCCTCTTGTACGCCGCACGCAGCACATGCTCTGGGATCTGTTTCCCTGTGATGATCTCGATCATCCTGAACCGAATGTTGCACGGCACGCAGGCCTTGTAGAGCTTCTTCTTGCTCCTCAGCTCATACAGCACGCAGCCGACTGACCAGACGTCCATGGGGAACGACCAACCCGCATGCAAGTCGCACTCAGGAGCGCGGTACTCCTGCACTCCAAGTCAGAGGACAGCATGCCCGGCAGCAGGGGGAGTACAGGAGTCCCCGCTAGAGGAGGATGCCACTGGTTGTCGACGATGGCAGAGGCAAAGTCGATGAGCTTGATCCGTAGCCTGTCTCCTTCAGCCGCCTTCTAGGACCAGGTCACTCGAGGACGAGACGAGGCCCTGCCTTACCGAGGGGTCATGCACGAGGACGATATTGTCGGGTTTGATGTCCGTGTGTATGACATTGCGCAAGTGCATGAAAGACACCGCACCAAACAACTAACAGACAGGCTCTCCTCAGGACCTTGCCGCCCTTCCTCCTCCTCTCGACGTTACACACCTGAGAAGCGATATCCAACAGGTCTGCATCTGGCACTGGTCCTACACCAATCCCGTGACAAACTCCCTGCGACAGGCTGAGTGGTACCTCGTTCCTTCAAGTACGTCTTGAGAGTGATCCCGTGCAAGTCCATCACGATGCAGACATGGCCGAGATACTCGAAGGCGTCTTGATACCTGCAGACAATGCAGACACAATCAACCAAAACTCACCCAGGACTTCGCACTTACTTCACAATACCATTTTGACCCCGCAATATCTTCAAGATTTGTAGCTCTCGTTTCGCTGTCATCCGTTGTCAACAATCAGGACATGCGCAACAGGAATAAAGACTAACCTGCCGTAACGTACGATTTTCCGGATCTTGATATTTTCAATGCAGCTGTTACACCATCAGAGGCAACTTATTCATCCTGCTCCTCTACCTGTCGTGTTGGTATCCTCAACTTTGCATTTGTACACGTTGCTATAAACGCCCTTGCCTAGCGGAGCTACAACCTCATACCTAACAGAATCTTGAGCACGTTGACATGGGATAGAGCACAAAACAAGCACCTTTTGGGGCAAGTCCTCTGTTCGTCACAGAGAAGACACACGTCTCCTGGGTCTTCACGTCATGTTTCGCTGGCACACCCCGCACGTTACCTTCAGGCAAATGAAATCTATCCTCTTCAATCACTTCTTCATCGGAATACAAAACATTTTGACTTTTAGCCTCCTTAATCTGAGAAAGACAAGAAGCTCGCCCATCGCTGCTCGCTCGAGCACGCTCATCATGCTTGAGGGAGGTGGAAGGATGGCGCAAATCACAGGCAGTTGTTGGAGACATCTCCGGCATTCGCCATGAAACTACAGAACAGCCAGATCAGTATGTTCAAATGAATCTTTTCGGTGTCATAAAGAATCCCACGATCCCACTGCTGTGCCTCGTTCAAGTTACGTCTTTTCTCGTTGGGGCTTCGAGGTAAGCCGGGCATCAATGCCACGCAGGAGCAGGGGATCATCATCGCAACTTTCTCAAAAGCATTCTGCCGGTCATACATTATTCCCTCCTAGTCGTCCCCTCGGATTCGCTCCACCCCTACACCGCTTAGACCAAATCGCTTGCGATCCCCGATCGTTCACACCTTCACCATCTTCCACATGCTCCTCAAGCTTCTCTATCCTACCTCGCCTTGCCATGTCGTCTACTCGCTTCAACAGTCTCCCCGCATCCTCCCTCCTCTCCTGCTCGTCTCTCCTTTCCTCCCCTTTGCCTCCTTCATGCTGTCCTTCATGTTTCCTCACGCTCACTCCCCATGTAGCCTCACAACATTGTGCAATTATAACAAAAATATTGAATGCGAACAGCACCCCTACCCCTGACGATTACGTACCCCTACCTACTCTCCGATCTCACTTCATACCCCGAAGTGTACCCTTTTCCACCCCCCTGTGATACCATTACCATATCTAAGTTCTACCCCTACCCCCTCTTATCGACCACCCACCCACACCTCCTGGTCATTAACGCGAACAGGCAGTTCCCAACCTGAAGTACCCTCGGACCCCTCCTTTGTACGCCATCCACCCCTCATTCTATCTGCAGACTTATCAATAGAAATGGATATTTGGACGGGGTACTATCCCTACCCCTACCCTACTCTGTTTTGACGTTGGCTTACGAGCCGAATTGGTACTCCGGTACACAATTACGTGGTACCCCCACCCCCTCGTTGACTTTCAAGCACCCCACCAAAATGTTCCACGGCCTCCATGACCCCTCCCACCTCTCCTTAGGACCCTTTTTGGCCTCTATCTTAGATTGACACCCCAGGTACCCCACCCCCTCAGGCCCGTAGGGCCGCGGTCACGTCCCCATAAGTGCACTCGAGAGACGTGACTCTTTTTTTAACCAAATCCGAAATGTTATCTTGACTACAGTGCCTGTAGTCAATATATTTTTAGTGCACACGCCCCACACGGCCGGAGGGCGCCCGGCCGGGCCCGGACAGGTCGGGACTGCGGCCCGGCACCTTTCACTCGTCTCATGGCAGCGGCCCGGCACCGTAAGGGGTCGCATAGGACCAGGGGCCTTCTAGTGAAAAGTGAAGGTGGTTGGTCCATGGTGGACTGTGGGAGGAGAGAGTCAAGGACGAGAGGAGAGGAGAGGAGAGGAGAGGGAGGGAGAGGAGGAGAGGAGAGGAAGAGAAGAGAAGAAGATGAGAACATAAGGTGAGGACGAGAAATTAGGCTAGAAGAGGGGAAGTCATTCCATCGACAAACGTCAGTTTGTGAAGACTCTCCGGGGATGGGATGGCGCTTGGGATGACAAAAGGTCACCTTCAACACTTGGATCCTTAAGAAACCTTGCAAGGCAGCAAGGAGAAGCTATCTTTTTTCGATGGAGATCAAGTCTTCGGCGTCCCCAACAAGACAGCGAGTCCATCAAAACAATCAAGAGTCTTCTGCATCTTTAGATCAGAGAACGGATGAACGAAGCTCTTTGGCAGCCTTCTTCCTCAACGATGAAGACCAATGCAGATTCTATGGTTTCTTGAAGATCATAGAGACAGGCGTTCCGTGCTGCTGTCAGATAGACAACCTCGGGTATTTCCGGTTGTTCGATGGGACAGAATTCCACGAGTTGTACCTTCCGAACATGAAGATCACTGCGATGGACGACTTGTACTTGAGCATGGACTTCCTGCATGCCAGAGAGGTGATTGAACGCCCCCTCCCGTCTGTAGCATGACGATGCGGTTTTGTTAGGTGTCCCGCTCGAGACCTTTTCAGTTTGAAGCGCGATGCCATGAAGTGCGGGAGAAATGGATGAGCGCCCTAGCGGACTCAGGAGCAGTCATCGGGGCGAGCACAGTAGGATTCGCAGCGCGCAGACACGGCAAGGCTCTTCCTGACAAGGAGAAGCACGGAGACAACGCTTCTCCTCAGCGACCTTCACGTCCTCTGAGGCAGCAGAGGGCAGGAGCAGGTGGCAATTCCACAGCAAAGAAGGCTGCCGGGTACAGCAAGGACAAGGAGACGAACGCAGCCCAGCAAGCGAGCAAGAGATCAGATTCCAAGACGAGCCTGAGAGACGCTGAGTCCGACTACCCAATGGGGCTCATAAGGAAAACACCCGTAGCTTTCATCCAGTTCCAGGGGAAGAGGCATCAGGACGCCAGGGACTCAACCGAGTGGGTGAGCGAGGCAGCCAGGTCATCCACTCCCTCAATGGACGAGCTCTTTGTCATCCCCAGGTTTCCTCCCTCTCCCGTACTGCTGCGAGTCCGCCACAGGAACGTCAGGACCTCGGTGTATAAGAACGTTATGGGGAATGTTGGGAACGGCCGAGCACAAGGGTTAGGTTCACATCGCGAGGAAAAGGGAGTAGCACTTAAGGATCAGATCGATGCCTTTCAGAAGGCTGCTAACAGCGGCATCCTCCATGGTAGCACTGCTCTAAGCAGCAGCGAAGAGAGAAGTGCGGCAGAAGAAGGATCCTTTCAACTGAGAACTCCTTCTTTACTGTCTTATCCGGCAGAGTTGGATGCAAGAGTAGAGGCTACGAGCTTTTCAAAGACACCGACTTTGGCAAAGAAGGGAGGAGCTAAGGAGACGGGCTCGAAAGCAAAGGAGCAGGAGCTTTCGCCGTGGACAAATGAGTTGAGTCCTCGTTCACCGACCTAGTACCAAATCGATCGATGCAACGAGAGTGTTGAGAGATTGTTTTGTTGATGTGTCATATTCCTGTAGACTAGTTGTCGAGCAAACGAAATTCATTTGCATATATCATCGTACGGTAGAACCTCGTCGAGAAATCCAACCGCAATCTTCATTTCTTGCATGTTGAAACTGTTCTGTTTTGACAAGAACATGGCTGATCCTTTCTCTATTCGATCCTTTAGGCGATTGGCAAATATCTCTTTCCTTGCATTCATGTCAAGCCCCAAGATTTTCGATTCGATGTCCAATGCTGTCATGACTTCAAGACGCGGAACCAAGGAGTTTTCGGGGCTGAAATAAGCTTGTCCTTCAAAGTCATTCGAACATAGACGAGGAGAACTTTGCTGCGATCTGCGTGAGTGTAGATTTTCAAGTTCCCCCTTCACTGTAGCCAGTCTCGCTGAGGAAAGGATCTGTCACTTGTGCACGCACTGACTGGTTATGTTCTCACCTTCACTCGCTCGAACCCTCTTCTCAAGCAGACGGGCTCGTGACCGAGCCTCTTCTTCATTTCTCCTGGCTTCGTATGTTTCTTCCATAGTCAGTTTGTACAACAACCTGAATCGTAACATCTTCAGTACTGCAACGACATGCTAGTACATCTTACATCATGTTCCGAAGGTTTTTCGACAGTTTCCTATTCTCTTGGTACAAGGACGTTGGCGACATAGATGAGGAGGAGTTGGACCTCGACGAAGGTCTTTTGCTGACCACAGAGGTAAAGTCCATCCCACTATGGTTATAACCGCGAATTTTCCCCTCGGGTATGGAGACAAGGCGGTTGTTTTCCTGGTGCAAGCAGGGTGAACTCTCGTTGCTGGCTCTCAACAAGACGTACATCTCTTGTTGTTGAGTCGCTGCAAGAAATTTCAAGTTGATGCTCCTGGAGATCAAAAGTCGAGCCCAGGATGACAAAAACATCGTAGTTTTTCTGGGGTGAAAGCAAATAAGCATCAGATGCTTGTTCGGCGCACGAACAATTTTGTACCTGAATGGTGCTGATGAACTTGAGCCTGATAGAGTCGTGCTTTGAGGGGTCCAACAGTTCTCCAAGGCGTGAATGCGTCAAAGAGCAGACGTCCTGATCGTGAATCTTATACAGCACCTGCAAACGCATTTCAGCCGACAAAGTCACCAACTCTCAACGCATCAGAAGCATACATCATTCATACTGATCTTCTGAGATGGAGAGTACATGTCATCGTGCCCCTTCACTTGTCGCACGGTAAGGATGATCCCTTTACGAGTGGTGGTTAGCTTGAATAGTATTCCTGTCTTTCTGAACAGCTCTTCAACAATGCGAGGATTATAATCGACATGCATGTCTTCTTTTCCAGCAAAGCTTTCAGGTCCTTGACTCATTTTCCATTCCCATCATTCAGATTGGACCTGAGAAGAGAAAATTCACTTTCAAGCCACTCTTGTTCTCAAGAAAGACATCATTATAACAACGAAAAACAATTCTAGGGAGGTGTATTGTTATAGAATTACAGTTTCCAATATCATGAAGAATGGTGCATGTATCAATGAATTCCCAGAACGAAACTTCGTCATCGAATAAATCATGTCAACCTGTCGATCAGCATGCAGCGTGCTTTCACTCCTACCAAATATCTCTATGTGAGTCAATACTGAAAGTACTAAAGCACGATTATCATCCCTTCCAACCACTGCAGCCATGCAAGAAATGTTGTTTCAAAGCTGTTTTCAGCTTCACCTTCAACTTGCATTCTCTCACTCTCATCTCATCGCTCTCTCACTCTCATCTCATCGCTCTCTCCGAGCCTCACTCTCATCTCATCGCTATCTCACGCTGGGCAGCAGCTTTTCTCACCGACATCTTGTGGTCTCACCCAGCCAGGGGTTGCCTTCCTTCCCGGACCCCTCCGAGTGGGCCGTTCCATTCACTACCCCCACCCCCTGGTCCGACTCAGCAAAGCGTTCAAACAGGCTCCGAGCCTCCTAAAACCCCCCAGGCCGCATTGATTACCCCACCCCTCCTCACGCCCGTCGGCTGTACAAGGAGGCACCGGCTAGAAATGACTAACCCCACCCCCCGGGGCCAGATC